CATCTTCTTCTGTTTCCTGCATCCCACCTAGAGCAAGATCCGCAAGCGCTCATGGGTGCTGCATGAGTGTGTGGAGCGCGTCCCAGAGAATGTTGATGCAGCTAAAGAGCTGCTGCAGTATGGCCTGAAGGGAACCGACCTTGAAGCCCTGATAGCCATAGGAAAAGGGGAAGATGGGGGCAGGTATAAAAACCTCTTCTCTTCACTCACCATAGACTTACTCTGCTTGTCTCATTTTGTTTATCCGCGCTTCTTTTTTCTGTCATTTCTTTGGTGTCTCCCAGGTTCATCATGCCAGGCGACGTCGACCTCGATGACCTCCCTTATGAAGACATCCTTTCAGATGAGCAGGAGCTGGAGATGAAGAAGGAGAGGGAGAACAAGAAGAGACGAGAGCTGCTGGCCAAAGTTGACTTCAGCAGGTACACAGCCAGTCAGACTGCCGCTTGTTTAATCAAACAGCAGATGGACACATAATTGTCAGGGCGGACCAGAAATGCTGGCAGTTTTCCGAATAAACAGAATGTAAGAGAGGGTTCATTTAAACCTCCAGCTAAACTGGTAGTTTAGAGTCGAGCTGGCAAGCACGTCTCTTGTTTTAGTATCTTAGTTACTAAAGCTAATTACAATCTTTTTATTTTATAGTGTGATACTGTTTTTTGACTAAACCATTGGGAGTTTTTGAGATTATTTTTCTACTGATCTTTGAAGACAATGAGCTAAAACACCAGCTTTGTTCTTAGAAGCATTTGCTGGGTGGGTGGACTCATTTCTCTAGAGAGGAACCTGATGCTGACCTGTGTGAGTCACCTTGTTGGCAGGTTGTTACTTACTGTTTCTAAAGATTAAATTAAGTCATTGTTATTACCTGTATCAGCTAAAATATTAACTGTACTCCAAATGCTTGTGGGGAAAAATTGAGAAATTGTGATTTCAGTATTTAAGGTGTAGACCAGGAAACTGGGAGGAGGATGAATGGGTTAGAGTGCTGCCAAATTTATCACTGATTGTTTGACTGGGTTTCACACCAGAGAGGGGATCATAAAGGCAGGGATGTTAATGAGTTTGAGGAAAAGAGAGCGAGACAGAGAAAAAGCACTGGTGGAGATTAGTGGGTAATCTGCTGGAGGTAATTTATGCTTTTGTTTTCAAGTGCCCAGGGATAGACTAATGAAAAAGCCTTTAGTGATCACTAATCACCTCTCATAACACACATGCAAACAAATTCACTCATCCATGTATCAAGAAACACTCTTAAGCTGAATCACACACAACTACTGAAGTGACCAGCCACAAAAAGGATGCGCTGGGTGCATGAGTTAAAGCGCTTGATGCACATTTAAATTCATATCCGTTCTATGTTTTTGCAAACAGGCTTTGTTCAGGCGCACATTTCAATCTTCTGTAGCTGGATCGGGCTTTTTCTTTTGTTCGTACAGTAAGCAGTGAGCCTCCTGACGGCTTTTAAATGAGGAAGAGCACAAACGTCGTAATGTTAATCCTTTGTAATAGCTGCCCTTCACGTCGCTGTTCATTTTTTTCCCTCCCTTTGGCCATTTGGTCATCTATATCTTACTGTGTAATAAAACTGTTGTGCTTTATTGGAGAACTGCACTCCACTGCAGCTAAAGAAAAGATGGAGGATCAGAAAGAGGACAGAAGAGGTAGTAAAAAAAAATCGATAATGTACAAACATTAAAAAAAAAACATTACATTAAATCTTCGGTGAATAAACTTATTTAAATATACCAGTTTTTCTCCTTTATCTGTCTTTGATGGAGAATGTCTGCCAGGCAGCTCACACACGTGCCCCCAGAATGTGTTTTTGTGTGAGTGTGTGAACACATTCGGGTTCCCCCACTAATGCATCTACCCATGTTGCCTTGAGGCCTGCGGCCGAGGCCTGAGACAGATAATAATTCTCTTAATTTCTTTTTAACTACACCACCATTACAGAAATGGCTCAGTATCGATCACAGCTGCTTCACAGTAGTACTGCGTCTGTGCGTATTTTGTGTGGGTGACACGCATGTGTAGATAAGGACTGTATTTAACTAGTAAATGTGACTCAGAGTGCATCTTTAATCCTGCTGTGTGTGTGTGTGTGTGTGTGTGTGTGTGTGTGTGTGTGTG